TGATGGAGGCTGTCGGTGAAGCGTAGCGTTAATCTCTCGTAGCTTCATCAGAACAAACACAGCTTCAACTCGATCGCCCAGGACTACAATGTAGCCCGGCATCAGAATCTCGGAGAAGCCTTCATCCCCTCAAAGGCCGATTTCCACAACCGCAAGATGTACAACCACGTGGCCCTGATTTGGGCATCAACACAAAGTAGGCGAAAACAGTGATTTTTATTAGGTGTCTTTTCATAATATACATTATATAAAGTATTGTAAGTAAAACTCGTCAAAAAATGTTTTAGAGAGCGCGATGTGCCTTACGTACCGATTCCGCGCTATCAAGTGCGGCCACGGAGGGCTGGAGATTGGTTGTGTGGGACCAGTCATAAGGACCGCTTCCATTTGTAGGTTTTTTATTATTTTAGGGAAATAATTCGATAGATTAAATTAGCAAATATAAAAATATGCTCTATTACATTCGTTTTTGCTAGATAGCCCAATTTAAAAGTTATAGCGATTTTAAGATCGTCGTCGATTTTTCGATTTTCAACAATTTTGAGTTAAATAGCTCATTCGATCGAGAAAGTTTTTCTGATGACGATGGCGATTGTCGTTTTTGACAAACCAGCCGGGAAAGGCAAGATAAATGGCTTTGAAGGACGAAAATTTGGGCAAAAATGGAACTTTGAAACGATATAACTTTTTAAATTGGACTATTTAGCAAAAATTGAAAGCGGATTCGGAATCAGCGACAAATTCTGCACAAAATAGGCTGGGTCCCATACGGAAACGCCAACTTGAACTTAGGTGGTTCCCTTGTAAGGGATAAATTTGATCACCCCCGCTAACAGTACAGCACCGATTTTTCTAGGCTGCCGACGGTGATCCCCATGACTGAACAGCGAATGATATCTGAGAAAAAGGCCGCCACGGACCTTGAGAGGCGGTTTGTATACTATTAATTTGGAAAACTCCCCATTACAGCCCGGGAAATTACAACTTCGTCCGTTCCGGGCTTCTCCATGGGGTTCAGCGAACACCGGTGGCTTTGGTACAACCCGACTACGGATCCACTGAGATACTGCAGGTACGCTAAATCTAGACAGGACTTTTTTCTGGCCCTGTAACGCTCATTTTCCATAGGTTCCTGTCATCTTGGCGCATTCATGTGTCACATAACCATCATTCAGCCGTCAGCGCCGCAATTGGGCCGGAAACTTTGATCGAAACTTCCACGGCGGCAAGCAGTCGAACAGCATCGTTTTTCTCATACTGTAGTCCGCTGTGAGGGGCCGACGATAAAAGATTTATTTGAGGTATTGGAAAAGGCAAGGCGCGAGAGAAATGCAATATCACAGGCAGTTAAGGCATTTTCAAGAAAAACGTACAACTTATAAATTCCGGTTGATCAGATCGTCCAGCGCATTCTCGAGTGCCTCATTAGTGCCTTTGAGCCCGGAGACGACCTACAATAAGTCATTGTCAGTTGTCTTAATGAGTAGCAAAAAGTTGGTAGCAGTAACAAAAATAATATAACATACTTATTAAGAAAAATTCACTGACCTCCTTCGCCCACTTGAAGTACTCCCTTGCCTGGCGTTTATCCCACCCAAACGGCGGCGCTCGTTCGATATCCCTCAAATTGTATAGCTTATCGGCCAGCTTGACGAGCTTCGCCTAAACCTCACGATGATCATCTACTAGTTTGGCCACCTTGTGAGAATTGTGTGAGCGTGCAGAATCTGGAGTCGTTTACGCTCCTCTTTTGGCAGACTCTTGTCGTCTGCAGACCTCCTTGACAATGTCGTGCACCTATAGGATCCAAAGATTTTATAATAAAAAATAAAAGTATATTGAATGGCATTTTAAAATCGAAATAGATAGAATTAAAATATAATAAAAATACGTACTTCTTGTCCAAACTCGGCCAATATCTCCTCGTGAGTGGTTTTCGTGTCCTCGACGGTGTCGTGGAGCATCGCAGCGGCCAGCGTGACGGAATCGTAGATTTTTGCCTCGCTGGTGAGGATTTGAGCGACACCTGTATTTATAAAGTTTTACTGTATTATCCTCCTTAACTTAACTTTTTAAGTTTTTATTTGTTTATTTTTCTGTACTTTTTTCTTCGTTTTATTAAAACTCTTAGACTATTTTTGTTGCGCTATCGAATGCGACCCAAAAACGGCGAAAATATCGAAATAACGAAAGTTCCGGCTGGGCGGCTAATGTATAGTTTTGCCTATACAGGGTGGCGATTAATTACCTGCGCGTCGCTTTTACCCTAAAAATCAGGCTTTAAATTTTCTTTTATAGAGTGGTTTTACTATATTGGTGGTTGTTTAGTTGCATCCTATCCAAATTTTAACCGGGTTAAGCAATC